GTTTTAAATTCGAATTTGTTATTGCGTATTGGTTCGATTATAGAACGATTGTAAACGTTTCAGAAAATTGATCAAATTGAAAATAGTTCGTTTGATTTTCGGCAATTCTCTTCAGCGGTAGGTGTTATATAACAATTACTATGGTTATTGAAATATTGGATGTAAATGGGGTTTGCTTGCAAAACCTCCGCTGACGAAGTCGCGGGTAACAGCTAGTTATTTATAAAGTTATAAATTAAATTTAATAAATCTAACATAAATTGTAATTTTGTTCATTAGTATATTCTTTTTAATTAATACAATTAACTATTTATAAATTTTTAAATTATTTTATAACATTTTTATAACAAAAGTTTTGATTTTTTTACTTCTGTTAAAAAAAAAGTAAATCAATTTTATCAGGTTGTAAAGGTAAAATTTAGACATTTCAATTTTTTTTAATAGAAATGACTGGAAAGAAATGTTCTGGAATGTTCAACAAGGTTATATTAGCAGAGTAACCAAAGGGCATTTCATCCATCATGGTGGAGTCTGTAAACAAATATTGATTCCAACAAATTTGAAATGTGTGACACTGACTTTTTCCTTTATAAAATATCACACTATGTTTCTTTTTATTAGCTACATATTATAGGATATCTGAATATTTTTTATCTAAAAAAAGTTTTTCTCTATAAAAAGTTATACTAAAATTTATGATGAGAATCAAAAATGGATATAATGAATTTATCTTGGAAAAACAAGTATTTAAAGTAACATATATCATTTTAATCAGCCAAAAAATCTTTCATGTTCTTCATGTTCCAATGTTACAAACCCAGTGACTTCAGAAAACAATTTTCAGTTATGGAGATGACCTTTTATTTAAGTCAAATAAAAGGTCAACAGAAATAAATGCATCAGCAATGTCTGACAATGTGAAACTAGAAAGATCATGTTCACGTGCTGTTACTCTATTACTTCAAAATTGACCGCAACACAATTTTGTCTTCAAAGCATTTGTTAAAGCATTCATGGGTGAACAAAGGCCAACAAGCTGCTACAAATGTCAAAGGGATGATAGTGCAAAAAGGCTGCAACAATCTGCATTTGTTTGGAGTCATTATGGTGGAGCTGCTTCCAAACAATATAACAGTTCCAATGGAACACCAATGTTAACAACTGGATCATTTGAATACCAAGATAAACAGATTTTTGTCCAAAATCTGATAAAATCTGACACCATCATGACAGTATGCCAGCACATAAAACAAAGATTACCTCAGAGAAGCTGGCCAGTCTGGACTGGGAGGTTCTGCTTAATCCATCTTACAGCCCAGACTTGATGCCAACTGACTACTATTTTGTGCCTTGCAGAAACAATTGTCAATATGACAATACCAAACATTAGAGACTTTCTTCAAAAACAAAAAAAATTCCAGTCATTCTATGCTCATAGGATTGAAAGTTTGTAGCAAAGATAGTGAGATCTGATCGATATTGATGGTGATTACCTGACTAGTTGAACTGTAATCATTGAGTTAACTGTCAATAAAGGTTTTTCAAAATGTTTAAATTTTACCTTTACAACCTGACATAAAAATGAAAACAAAACAATAAAATAATTGTGTGTGTACCTTCTTTGATGTTGACCATTCTTACTTGTTCTCATCTTTCTAAATTAACAGATTTAAGTATCATATTTTTGTTGATTACTTCACTAATTAAAAATTACTTTAAATTTGCAATTATTCATGATAAGAAAATGAATATTCCATATTATATTTGTAGGACTTGNGACCATAAAGATGCAATAATAATACAGATATAAAGCATCCAATAAACAGAGGTAAATTTACACCTAACTTTCCTATATAGAAATGATAAGTCTATTAAAAAAATTTAACTTTTGTACAAATTGTTAAAATTCTTTAATAGTCTTTTATACAAAAGTTAGTTTTTTAATAGCGTTATAATTTTTATATGGGAAATTAAGATGTAAATTTATCTCTGTTTATTGGATGCTTTACATCAGTATTATTGTTGAATTAATATTGGACTGTAAAGATTTACATGATTTTTTTAAGAAAAAATATTGTCATGTGTAATATCAGTTTTAAAAAACAGTTTATACAATTTTGTTATAGAATGTTGTAAACTTGCCAAAGAGGTGCCTACAGGTCCAAAACACACGAAAAAGAATGCACAGGTGAAATAAAGATAAGTTTGTTTTAAATCTCACCATTGTGGATTGGTTATAACATTGATTAGTCCAGAAATACATCATAAATTTAGAGAACTAAAAACGTATTTTTCAACACCTAATATGAACAGCCACATTTTTTCTGACTGACCGATATGAACACTGCAAGCAATAAGCAGTTCATATCAGTTACAAGAAATGTTATTTATGAATAATTTTACTATTTTTTTGTATAAAGATATGTAGAGTTTCAATGTTTGTTTTCATTTATTTAATTGTTTATTGTATCATTGTAGCATATACTAAAGAGAGGCTAAAACCCAAAATGTATTTACATTAAGAGTGGTAATAAAATATTTTGGTTGGATGATATTCTCATCTGCTTAGTCCTTGTCAGAAAAATTTGGCTGTTCACATTGAGTTTGAAAAATGTTTTTTAGTTCTATAAATTTCTATAAATTTACAATGTATTTCTGGATTAATAAATTTTCTTTTACCTTTTGACTAAGATTCCTCCTCCTGCTAATTAGAAACCACACCAGTATAATAAGTTCTATTTATAAACAAAATCTATGTGGACAATATAAAAATATTTTCTTACTTTTATATTTTATTACTGATTTAATTAATAATCATCCTTTCTATCTTCCATATATCTCTATGTTCTATGACTTCAGCTACCTCTTGTTCATTGTTTTGATAGTCTCTGTTAGAAAGTGGCAGAAGAATATAATGACATATTTGTCATATTAAATATTACATCACCACTTGATAAAAATTTGCATAAGCCACTCCAAATATAAAACAATTTTTATTTTTTATTGTTTTATGATTTTTTTAGAGAAACAATCTATTTTTAAACTTTACAATAAATCTACATATAGAAATGAAACATATACAGGGTGTTTCAGTTACATGTTTCAAAACTTCTAAGAGCATCCCGATAACTTGGAATCATATAGCAATGCAGGATCGGTAATGCTTTCCTGAAGTAGTGATGTACTGTACACAGAAACATCATAAAGAAGACCGTAAGTGAATATTCATTTTAATAATGCACAAAAACAAAACATGGGTCAAAAAAAGTGTTCGAAGTTTCTTCCACTGACTGCAATGCAGAGCTCACATCTACGGCGCAATTCCGAACATTCTGGAATAATCCAGGCTTATCTCAAATTTCTCTGGCAGTTACTGCAATTCTTGCAACCAGCTCCTCAGCAATGTCAATGGAGGTGTCATAAATCAGTGTTTTCATATGCCCCAGAAATAAAAATCAAGATATGATAGATCTGGTGACCGAGCAGGCCAACGCACAGGACAACCATGTCCGATCCACCATTGGCCAAATGTGATGTCTACAACGCCATCTACCACGTCAGGAAAGCATTTCTGACCCTACATTGCTATATGATTCTGAGTCGTCAGGATGCACCCTACCCCTCTTAGAAGTTCTGAAATGTTTAACTGAGACACCCTGTATATTCTGATTTATTTAATTTAATATGAAAACTGCTTTTTTATATTCTATAGTCATTTTTTCAACAATCTTAATGGATAATCATTTAAAAAATTTTTTACAACACTTTTTAAAATCTAATTTTCTTGTGATCGTACACATTTTACAAATTTCTGTAACAAAATTCCTTTTAATATTCATTGGACAGTAAGAAGAATACAGAACAGTTGTTTTAGTATTAAAGCTATTTTTCATATTTTTAAAAATTAATGAATTACTATTTTCCTCTATTGCAATATCAAATAATTAATAATACTATTATCTTTTCCTTCTTCTAAATTAAACAATATTTTTATTCATACTATTAACTATATCTAATATTGTTTTTAGACTTATAACAACACTGTCATATATTAGGATTATGTCATCCACAAACCTACTTAGAAATTTTATACCTTTTATATTTATAATACTCTCATCTATCTCTCTCATATATAGCCAGCTTAAGTTCTGTTATTGTTCCCATAGTAATTCTATCCTTTTGTCTATATTAATCTTTTCCTACAACAAAATAATTGCTCTTATAACTGAATTTATCAAATTTATGATCCGTTCTTGCATACAGTGGTACCTCAGGTTACGAACGCCCCAGCATACGAAATTTTCAGGATACGACATGAAATTCGAACATATTTTTGCTCCACGATACGAACAAAAACTCACCATACGATGTTTCATTAGTTCGCATTTTTCATTCGTTTTTCTTACTACAGTTATCTTTTTAAATGTATTACTTGGCTTTAATTTAAGTATGTTTTTCGCATTGAAACGAATTATTTAGTTTTACATGTAATCGTATGGGAATAGATGATTCACCTTACGACATTTTCATGATACGATCTCAGTTTCGGAACAGATTAATTTCGTATCCTGAGGTACCACTGTATATGTTTTTAATAAACATTTTCTTACTTCTTTTTTACCTCTATGTCCTTAATGTTTTAATTTTATTACTATATTGTCCACATAGACCTTGTTTATAAATAGGACTTTGCAGATGGAGGAAATATTAGTCAAAAGGTAAAACAAAATTATCTTTATTTCACCCGTCCACTCTTTTTTTTGTGTGTTTTGGATCTGTAGACATCTCTTTGGCATGTTTACATCACTCTATAACAAATTTGTGTAAACAATTTTTTAAAACAATAATATTAAACCTGACAATATTTTAAAAAATCATTTGTATTAAAATATTGGACCATAAAGATGCAATAATAATACAGATATAAAGCATCCAATAAACAGAGGTAAATTTACACCTAACTTTCCTATATAGAAATGATAAGTCTATTAAAAAAATTTAACTTTTGTACAAATTGTTAAAATTCTTTAATAGTCTTTTATACAAAAGTTAGTTTTTTAATAGCGTTATAATTTTTATATGGGAAATTAAGATGTAAATTTACCTCTGTTTATTGGATGCTTTACATCAGTATTATTGTTGAATTAATATTGGACTGTAAAGATTTACATGATTTTTTTAAGAAAAAATATTGTCATGTGTAATATCAGTTTTAAAAAACAGTTTATACAATTTTGTTATAGAATGTTGTAAACTTGCCAAAGAGGTGCCTACAGGTCCAAAACACACGAAAAAGAATGCACAGGTGAAATAAAGATAAGTTTGTTTTAAATCTCACCATTGTGGATTGGTTATAACATTGATTAGTCCAGAAATACATCATAAATTTAGAGAACTAAAAACGTATTTTTCAACACCTAATATGAACAGCCACATTTTTTCTGACTGACCGATATGAACACTGCAAGCAATAAGCAGTTCATATCAGTTACAAGAAATGTTATTTATGAATAATTTTACTATTTTTTTGTATAAAGATATGTAGAGTTTCAATGTTTGTTTTCATTTATTTAATTGTTTATTGTATCATTGTAGCATATACTAAAGAGAGGCTAAAACCCAAAATGTATTTACATTAAGAGTGGTAATAAAATATTTTGGTTGGATGATATTCTCATCTGCTTAGTCCTTGTCAGAAAAATTTGGCTGTTCACATTGAGTTTGAAAAATGTTTTTTAGTTCTATAAATTTCTATAAATTTACAATGTATTTCTGGATTAATAAATTTTCTTTTACCTTTTGACTAAGATTCCTCCTCCTGCTAATTAGAAACCACACCAGTATAATAAGTTCTATTTATAAACAAAATCTATGTGGACAATATAAAAATATTTTCTTACTTTTATATTTTATTACTGATTTAATTAATAATCATCCTTTCTATCTTCCATATATCTCTATGTTCTATGACTTCAGCTACCTCTTGTTCATTGTTTTGATAGTCTCTGTTAGAAAGTGGCAGAAGAATATAATGACATATTTGTCATATTAAATATTACATCACCACTTGATAAAAATTTGCATAAGCCACTCCAAATATAAAACAATTTTTATTTTTTATTGTTTTATGATTTTTTTAGAGAAACAATCTATTTTTAAACTTTTATTTTGCTTCAAGAAATTTTAAACGAGACATTTTATAAAAATGAAGTTTTTAAGACGGAAAATTTCACCTTTATATATTCATATAATTCTTACAGTATAGAATCTGCAATTGAAATTGAAAACATAACTGACATCAAAAATATTAGTTTTGAATATTTATAAACATAACAGGACTTTCTATTTTTATACATCTAATTACAATTTTATAAATTGGAATTTATTATTTCCTGGATATATTTTTCTCTTTTCTTATTATATATTATCTCATTCTTCCTATACATTAAATCCATGTTAACTATGCTAATTAATTTCATCCTCACTCTAAGTTGAAGTTATTTAAAAGATATTTTAGAATTACCGTAATTTTGTATAGATAATCCATACAAAATTCTAGAATAAAATCTTTATATAATCTGCACTACTATAAACCCCTCACCTCCAAAGTAGCATTGGACAATGACATTTAATAGTGTTACCATAATTTTGGTATAGCAATCCTAGCATAATTACAAAACAGAAATCAAGGACACTTATGACTGGAAAAAAATAGAATATTTACAATCATTTCATACATCTTGGCCTTGGCAGTTTGATTGATGCTCTGG